AGTTGTTGCTTTGCCTTGAATGGTCAAAGCACAGAGACACTTTTTTTTTTTTTAAAGCATACGCTCAACCTTTAGCAATGCTGCTGCCAATCTTAATTTTTGTAAACGTCAGAGTGGAAAAATACCTGTACTGAGACAAGTGTTCAGACTGCCATTGCCCAACTTTTTCTGAAGCTTTAAACTCAGTTTGGTCAAAATGGGAAGACAGCAGGACATTTATTAAGTACCGTGAAGAGCCAAGTAAACAAGAAAAATGACTTATTGGCAAGAACATCCTAAACTTATGAAAAGAGAAGTGTCTTAAAGTGACCATGTTGCTAGGGAGATGAAACTTAAAGAAGAACTCTGGGCTTGTAAAATATTAACCCTTGCAGTGGGGCAACTCTCCCACTGCAAGGGTTAAGTGCTTGTTTTGGCCTTGGGTCTAAATGCACGCACGCTTTGCTATGTCCCTCAGCATTCTCATGTCTCATACAAGTGAATGGACCTTACATTGACATGATGTTGTCAGCGGGACTTAGACTGCTGGGGCCGGTTTAGCTGGGGTGAAGCTATAGCCAGCATTGACCGAAATAAAAATGGCATTTGATTTCCAAACCAGTGCACAGATTTTAATGGGACAAGTGTTATGTGCACTGGGTCGCCTGGGGCATTTAACAAGCCTTATTAATATATGGTGAGAGGTTTGTATGTTTTTTTTTTATTTTTTAGTATATGCTGCTGAAGATGGTGGGGGGCCAAAGGCACTCCCACCAGCTACTGAATACCAGCTACTTCAAATGGGCAAAAAATGCTCCACCTCTGGGAAGGGATGGAGCTTGCCCACTCATTCACAATCCCTGTTACATGCCTGTTGGCCAGTAAGGCAACTCATTGAAGAAGTCTGAGTATGAGATGGAAGAAACAATGTAGATTCAGTCTGAGTGAGCCTGACAGCAACTAAACGAGTGCTGGAAAATTACTGCACGATCTTCTTATGGTGTATTGCTAGCTACATAGTTGGGGATATCCTCTTAGACAGTTGTCACTGGAGCAGGTGTCCCTATTTGAAGGTTACCTTGATCTGTTCCAGTAACAGCTGTAAGGACCTGTTCACACTATTTTGGTGTAGTTGGTGCAATGCCATGTCGTTATTCTAAATGCTAACCCAATGCACCTTGCTGACAGACGGGGCTGATCCTGCCCAAGGTGGGCATTTTGGTGGGGTGCCTGGAACGGGCACCCCGGCACCACTGTAAGTTCTACCTGAGGCGGCTACCTCAACTGGCCTCATTGATGGCACAACCCTGCCAACAGATATGTGTTGCAGCACACCACAACACATGGCAAGGCAATACAGTATGCACCTACATGTATGCATACATGCACCTTTTTTGGTGCGTTAGGCATTCCTAATACAGCACAGTGTGAATGGGCACTAAAGGTTTGGATTTCCCATCACTAATAGTCCAGATGATAGGTCACCAGGACAAGAGGGTGAATCTCCCCAGCTGGAACACGACAATAAAAATAGTTTTCACCTATTTATTTATTTTCCTTTCCTTTTAATCAGTTCCTGCATCCCAGTGCTGCTGGACTCCGGCAGCCTCTTCCTGTCTACATACACTCCAAAGATGGCTGCATGGCATTTGACAAGGGAGGATGATGACAGTGGACCATATCTGTGTAATGTTTATTGCTTTGGCAGCTTTTAGTCTCCACTGGGAGACTGTGTGACAGGGTGGCAATGCCGTCAAAGAGTTGGGAGACAGGAGCACCCTATGATAGGAAGTGATTGCTCATAGATCCTCACAGCAGGATCACCAGGAATCATTTTAATAAAAGCTACCGATTTAAGAATGTTGAAAATTACATTTAACTTGTTTATTTGGGGTTTTTTTTTTTTTTTTTACAATACGTCTTTATTAAGGTGTTTTGCATATGATAAGACAGGATTGCATAGAAAGAATACGGTTCACAGGTCACATAGTGCCAATGGCGTAAATATACAAAGCAATCGGTAGTATTACAAACGTTGTGGTACAGTGGTATGTATGTAGAACTGCACATTGCATACATTTGATAACAACAGTAAATGGCCTATGTTTAGTGATGGTGCTACTCAGCGCAGAACCAGGAGATGGTGTTGTTAAACCTTCTTTGTCAAATAGTAGGTTTGCGTCTTAATGGTATGATGGAAAAGGAGGTAAGGATGGGGAATGACATACGAACATGTGGGAAGAAGGGGGAAAGGAGAGGAGACCTAAAACAGGTTTGGATGCATTGAGATGGGATAAGGTATGTTGTAGGTGTATCGTTCATCGTCTAACATGAGCCATTCTAGTTCAGGTGTATGCTACAGATGTATGTGTGGGGTTCCAATCCAAAAGTGCCAATATAGGATTAGGATAGGAGATAGTATTGGCCATTAGTTAGGCTGTTTGGGGACAGTTAATATTTCAGGAGCAGTTGGGTAGTACATCGGTTGTCATTCATCCAGCAGTCCCATTCCCTGAGGAATTTATGATCTTTTCGATGTGCTCTAGCAAAAAGATATTCAAAGTGGGAATTTTGGTTTATAATTTCTATTATGGTGGACAGTGTGGGGATCGCCTGTTGTTTCCATAGTCTGGCAATGGAGAGCCTAGCTGCAATAATGGCGTGTGTCATAAAGATTCGTGAGTTGGTAGGCCAATCAATCACCCCCACTCCTGGGAGGGCCATTCGTGCACAGGGTTCACGTCTTATTTGAGTGACCGCACTGAAAAAGTGGAAGAAGGTATTCCAGAATGGTTGCAGCAGGGGGCATTGCCACCAGATATGACACAGTGTACCCGTCTGTCCACAGTTTCTCCAACAAAATGGAGAGGTTGATGGAAACATCTTAGACAATCTGTGCGGGGTATAGTATCATTTATGGAATATTTTTAGGGCTGATTCCCAGTGTGTAAGACAACTTGATGCCTTTAGGGTCCATGCTATGTTTTAATGCCAGGATATAGGGGAGTGAACCCCAGCTGGTCCTCCCACCACTTCATAACAGGAGGTTTTTCATCACTCAGTGGAGTAGCCAATAGCTTATAAAAAAAGGAAATACCGTTCATTAGTGGCAAAGCTTTAGAGAAGAAGGAGATGGATTGTCTATGGAATTTTTTTGTGGGAGGTTTTTTAATGGCAATTGCTTTAACAAACGAAATGTCATTCAGTTAGTATTTAAAGCCCGATTCCGGCTCACCTTCCCACGAATGGATCACTCTCCTCCCCCCTGGAGGTGGCTGGTCCTCCTGGTGCAGAGATTGCCACTGCCATGATTATACTGCAAATGAAGGGCACTGTGGTGATGCTTCCTCAGTGACCGGGGCCATGACACCCTTCATTCATAGTATCGCCTGTCTTCCAGGGTGAGTGACGCTGGGTGTTATTCAACCTGGAAGACTGAGGACATCTTGTGGGCAAAAAGAAGTACTGCGGGGCACAGTTATGGGATTGCAGTGAATATTAAAGCCTTTAAAAATAAACTTTTTGGGCCCTTTGAAACTGTAAGAAAAAATGATTGAAACTGAGTTATAAGTGGCAAGAGAGTCAGGTGTGCCAGTGATACGAGCCCCACATCCATGAGGCGCTTCTTTGACTTCTGATAAAGACAAAGGCTAAACCCCCCCCTTTTACTTCTGCACTTTACAATAAGGTTACTAGATTCTCAAAATGAAATTTAGGGACACTCTACTGACCACTCCCACTTGTAACCACACCCATAAAACTACACCCCCACCCCCCACCCCCCCCCCCCCGTTTGTAGCCACACCCACAAATCCAAGCCCCCATTTTTTAGCATTCCACAGGCTTCTGGAAGAGGAAGCAGACATTGAAGCTGTAAAGACAAAGTGCCCTGGACACTACAAGGAGTGAAATAATGCAGCGCGCTCCAGCGAATCATGCATGTGGTCAAATTGCACAAACAGTGGGAGTGCCTGAAGATGCGTTGCTAAATAAACCCTGACTCTACTATGGGTCAAGAATGTGTAATGCACAGAGGGCAGGAATCAGGAGTATGTAACACATGGAGTTCAGGAGTCAGTAGTGTGTAACGCAGAACACAGGGGTCAAGAGTGCATGGTGCAGAATGCAGGAATCGGGAGTATGTAGCATACGGGGTGCAGGGATCAGGAGTAGGGAACAAATGGAATAAAGAGGCCTGGAGCAAGAAACAAATGGAGTGCAGGGGTCATGAGTAAGTAGCGCATGGAGTACAGGGGTCATGAGTAGGTAACACAATGGAGTACAGGGGTCATGAGTAGGTAACACAATGGAGTACAGGGTTCATGAGTAGGAAACGCATGGAGTACAGGGGTCATGAGTAGGAAACTCACGGAGTACAGGGGTCATGAGTAGGAAACGCACGGAGTACAGGGGTCATGAGTAGGAAACGCACGGAGTACAGGGGTCATGAGTAGGAAACGCACGGAGTACAGGGGTCATGAGTAGAAAACGCACGGAGTACAGGGGTCATGAGTAGGAAACGCACGGAGTACAGGGGTCATGAGTAGGAAACGCACGGAGTACAGGGGTCATGAGTAGGAAACGCACGGAGTACAGGGGTCATGAGTAGGAAACGCACGGAGTACAGGGGTCATGAGTAGAAAACGCACGGAGTACAGGGGTCATGAGTAGGAAACGCATGGAGTACAGGGGTCATGAGTAGGTAACGCATGGAGTACAGGGGTCATGAGGAGGTAACGCATGGAGTAAAGGGGTCATGAGGAGGTAACGCATGGAGTATAGGGGTCATGAGTAGGTAACGCATGGAGTTCAGGGGTCATCAGTAGGTAACGCATGGAGTACAGGGGTCATAACTAGGTAACGCATGGAGTACATTGGGTCATGAGTAGGTAACGCATGGAGTACAGGGGTCATGAGTAGGTAACGCATGGAGTACTTCGGCTGCCTCTATGTCTGGATCTACTAATCATAGTGTTCACTGTGTGCTGAGTATAACGATACTTCTCTTTTATTTTTCGCAGTAACGACTTTACAGTTGAAGGAGGAGATGCTAGACGGGGATGATTACTCCTTTCTCCAAGGAGCCTCTGACCAGGAGAGCAACGGGTCCGGCAGCTACTACATCAAACAAGAACCCTGATGCAAGTTGAACGATTCTTAACTTAATAACCTATAAGAATGTTTTCTTATAAAAACAAACAAAAAACAAAACAAAAAACAAACTGAATCTAAACACATAAAAAAAAACAATGGACTCGCGCGCAGGGACATTCTGTTCAGTGACAAAAAGAAATATTTTGGTGAAGAAAAAAAAAAAACAGAAATTTTACAGTTTATTAAATAACGTCGCCGATTTTGTGTTGTATTTGAAGTTTTTGAAAAAGAAATGTAATATTTTCAGATTTTACAAATATTGTGCATTGTGGGCAGGGAAACGGATTTTGTTTTTGTTTTTTCTTTCTTTGGTACCTTTTTTGCAGGGCTAGATTATTTGTTTAGGACGGGGGATATTTTGCAAAAAAAAAAAAAAGATTAAAAAACAAAAAACACAAAACTTTGCAATCTTGGTACACACTGGGTAGCTTTTTTTGTTGACCAGGAAATGTATTTTACTTACTAAACTTTGCTTATAGTAAAAAAAAAAAAATGTTAAGT